AGGGCCGAGAAGCGATCCTGAAGGACCCTATCGTGTGCTTGCAGCTGCCGGTGAGATGGAGAGCAGGAAGGCCAGCGCAACTGCAGGGGTGGGGGCACCCAGGGGGGCATGGGCAGCATGGGGAAATAAATGGTGCACAGGTAGGGTGATGGGTGCTGCGGGGAGGCAATTACCGGAACCAATCCCCTGTATGGCTCTCTCTCTGCAGCAGCTGAAAGCCTGGGGGAGGGAGAAGAGAAGTCAGCTTTCAGCTGCTGCAGAGAGAGTCATACAGGGGATTGGTTCCAGTAATTGCCCTCCACCCCCGCCATATCGATAACCCTCCCTGCCCTCATCCAATTCACCCAGCCTCCCTGCTGGCCTGGGTCCCATACAGGAGGACTGGTGGTGCCCCCTTAACCACGGCCCTGTATGGGGGCCAGGGTCTTATCCACCAGGGGGGGGAGAGAGGGGAGAGGGAGATAAAGAGAGAGAGGGAGAAAGAGAGGGAAGAGAGGAGGGTGAAGAGTGAAAGAGGGAGGGAGAGAAAAAGAGAAGGGGGGAGAAGGAGAGAGAGGGACAGAGAGAAGGGGGGAGAAGGAGAGAGAGGGAGGGAGAGAAAGAGAGAAGGGGGGAGAAGGAGAGAGAGGGACAGAGAGAATGGGGGAGAAGGAGAGAGAGGGACAGAGAGAAGGGGGGAGAAGGAGAGAGAGGGAGGGAGAGAAAGAGAGAAGGGGGAGAAGGAGAGAGGGGGAGGAAGAGAGAGAGAGAGAGAGAGAGAAAGAGAGGAGGGAAGAGGGGTGGGGAGAGAGAGAGGGGGGGGGGGGGAAAGAGAGAGAGGGGGGAGAAAGAGGGAGGGGAGAGAGAGAGGGAGAGATAGAGGGAGAGGGGGGGAGAAAGAGGGAGAGAGAGAGAGAGAGAGAGAGAGGGAAGAGGGGGGGGGGGGAAGAGAGAGAGAACAGAAAGAAAGGGAGAGAGAAATCATATGTACACACACACTTATTGAACTCTCTCGCTCTCTCATTGGGGAGGGGGCGCAAAATGTTTGTGTTGCGTAGGGCAGCATGTGACCTCCATCAAGGATGCAGTGTCTGACTGTCCAATCACTAAGCCTGAACATGTCATCATCCCTGTGTAAGCTTTTTAATCAAAATCTGCCAAAGCCGTTGATTTCCCGCTGCTGACAATGTATCAATGGTATCAATGTATCAATGGTATCAAGAATTGAAAAAAGTCAAATAAATCTGCAGTGTAGCGTTTGCCTTTAATTCACCTTGATCTTACCTTACATCTGACGGCTTTAATAGTAGATACTTTGTATACAAATAGAAAGAAGGACTTAAAGAAACAATGAAGGGACTGAACACTGCGCACATTTCCCAGGCTGCAATTACCGTAACAAAAAGTACCAAATATTACCACAACCCCCCCCAGGGGAGGAATTATCGGCAGGTCTGCAGGTGTACGCACATCGCCGCTTTGAACCTTCTCCCTCACTGATGTAATATACACCAAAAACAGAGGATGACACAATCTTTATTGTCAGAGATAAAAACAAAAACAAAAAACGTACTTTAGGAAATCAACAAGAAATGTATTAAATACTGAATGTCAGAAATCTCTTACAATTGTCAATTTACAAACATTGAACAACCCACACACCCCAATTCCTGCACCTTTACCCCTCAGATCACCCCAATTTCTGTACCTTACCCTTCAGATCACCCCAACTCCTGTGCCTTCACCTTTCAAATCACCACAATTCCTGCACCTTTACTGCTCAGATCACCCCAAATCCTTCACCTTCACCTCTCAGATCACCCCAAATCCTGCCCCTTTGCCCCTCAGATCACCCAAATTCCTGCACCTTTACCCCTCAGATCACCCCAATTTCTGTACCTTCACCCTTCAGATCACCCCAACTCCTGTGCCTTCACCTTTCAAATCACCACAATTCCTGCACCTTTACCGCTCAGATCACCCCAATCCTTCACCTTCACCTCTCAGATCACCCCAAATCCTGCCCCTTTGCCCCTCAGATCACCCCAAATCCTGCCCCTTTGCCCCTCAGATCACCCCAACTCCTGCACCTTTGCCTTTCAGATCACCCCAATTCCTGAACCTTTACCGCTCAGATCACCCCAAATCCTGCACCTTCGCCCCTCAGATCACCCCAACTCCTGCACCTTTGCCTTTCAGATCACCCCAATTCCTGCACCTTTACCCCTCAGATCACCCCAATTTCTATACCTTCGCCCTTCAGATCACCCCACTTCCTGTACCTATACCACTCAGATCACCCAAACTCCTGCACCTTCACCCCTCAGATCACCCTGATTTCTGCACCTTCGCCCCTCAAGTCACCCAAGTTCTTTCACCTTCATCCCTCAGATCACCCCAATTCCTGCACCTTTACCCCTCAAATCACCCAAATTCCTGCACCTTTGTCCCTCAGATCACCCCAATTCCTTTACCTTCACTATTCAGATTACTCCAATTCCTGCACCTTCACCCCTCAAATTAATCCCCAATTCCTGAACCTTCACCCCCCAAATCACCCCAATTCCTGAACCTTCACCCCTCAAATCACCCCAATTCCTGTACCTTCCTACCTCAGATCACCTTAGTTCCTGCACCTTCGCCCTTCAGACCACCCCAGTTCCTGCACCTTCACCCCCCAAATCACCCCAATTCCTGAACCTTCACCCCTCAAATCACCCCAATTCCTGTACCTTCCTACCTCAGATCACCTTAGTTCCTGCACCTTCGCCCTTCAGACCACCCCAGTTCCTGCACCTTCACCCCCCAAATCACCCCAATTCCTGAACCTTCACCCCTCAAATCACCCCAATTCCTGTACCTTCCTACCTCAGATCACCTTAGTTCCTGCACCTTCGCCCTTCAGACCACCCCAGTTCCTGCACCTTCACCCCCCAAATCACCCCAATTCCTGAACTTCACCCCTCAAATCACCCCAATTCCTGTACCTTCCTACCTCAGATCACCTTAGTTCCTGCACCTTCGCCCTTCAGACCACCCCAGTTTCCTGCACCTTCGCCCCTCAAATCACCCCAATTCCTGCACCTTCCTACATCAGATCATCTTAGTTCCTGCACTTTTGCCCTTCAGACCACCCCAATTCCTGCATGTTCGCCCCTCAAATAAACTCCAACTCCTGCACCTTCTCCCCTCAGGTCACCCCAATTCCTGCAACATTACATGTCAGATCACCCCACTTCCTGCATCTTTACACCTGAAGTCACCCGTATTCCTGCATCCTTCATACCTCAGATCACCCCAGTTCCTGCACCTTCACTCCTCAGATCACCCCAATTCCTGCACTATCACCCTGAAGATCACCCCAATTCCTGCACCTTCACACCTCAGACCTCCCAAATTCCTGCACCTTCAGACCTCAGATCACCCCAATTCCTGCACCTTCAGACCTCAGATCACCCCAATTCCTGCACCTTCAGACCTCAGATCACCCCAATTCCTGCACCTTCAGACCTCAGATCACCCCAATTCCTGCACCTTCAGACCTCAGATCACCCCAATTCCTGCACCTTCACACCTCAGATCACCCCAAATCCTGCACCTTCAGACCTCAGATCACCCCAATTCCTGTACCTTCAGAAATGCAGGGGTTTTATACACCTGCTAGCAGTTGCTGGTTCCATTAGGAGTGGGGATGAACCGATGAAACTTTTGTCTGTTTGGTCAATTGTTTGATGGAAGCCGAGCATCATTTTCAGAAGTCGTGTTTTTACTACTTGTATATATGGCAGCTTTCTGCTATCACTGGTTCCTAAGGAAGCAGCAGGTAATGCCACATCCCTAGGAACCACCAACATCATGGGACTTACATGGTCGGGATTCCCTGCCCACATAAACAAAGGGATGGGATAGTAGTGACATCACTGCCCAGATATGGCCACTGGACATACAGTATTTGGGCAATGATATCACCACTATCCCTGTCCCTTCCTCTATATAGCTGAGGACACAGTTCAGGGAACTGTCATTTGGCTAGTAGCACCATTGTGATCAATCGTGTGCACCAGGTCATCTGGTGTGTTTTTTTTTTTTGGTGAGTCAGCATGATTGATGAAGGACTTCCAATGAAAGATTTTTTTGCTGATTTAAATTTTTTTTTTAATAAAGCACTTGTCAGACTTTTGGATGCCTTTATTTGTAGGTCACATGTTTTTTTCTTGTGATCGAGTCAGGCTACATACCCTGTACTCATTCACATAGCGGAGGTTGGTATTTTGGGGCTGCCTTTTTTTAAATAAACTTCAATAAGCCCCCTGCATGTAGACCCCCACAACCCCTGGGCCAGAGCTGCTTGTCCTCATCAACATGTGAAGAAGGTGCTTTGCCAAGGTAGGTCCTCACTAGCAAGGTGTTGAGGGCATGTGGCCTGGTATGGTTAATGGGGGGGAGGGGTGCATACACTTTCCCCCATCCTTTGCTTTCCAGCCAAGCTGCATGCTTGGATTAATGGTCTGGAACTTTAGGGGGGAACGCACACATTTTTTTTTGCATGGAGACCCCTTTAAAATCCATACCAGCCCTGAAAGAGACACAAAAAAATTGCAACTCCCAAAAGTTTATTCTCCAGGGCCTCTGCTTAAAAATTATATAAATGTTTGGGGGGTTCTAAGTAGTTTTCTAGCAGAGAAAAAAAATTGGGGCCTGATCTAGCCTATCTGATCTGGGGGTTCAGTAATAAAAAGTCTGGGGGCATAATGTCAACACAGTGTGTGAGTCACTGAAAGTCTGTCACACAATGTAACAACCTGGGAAACATTATTAGGTATTAGGTTGTCACTAGATTAAGGGGAATTAAACAGAATATGTGCCCCCTTATACCAGAAGTCCCTATTAGAGTCCCCTTTTACATCATGAAAACTCATCAGAGTCCCCCTTTACATCAAGTTCCCATCAGATTGCCCCCTTATATCAGGATATCCATCAGAGTGCCCCCTTACATCAGGTATATTCTTCAGAGTGCCCCCTTACATCAGGGTGTCCATCAGATTGCCCCCTTACATCAGGATATCCATCAGAGTTCCCCCTTACATCAGGTGTCCCCATCAGAGTGCCCCCTTACATCAGGATCCCCATCAGAGTGCCCACTTACATCAGGTATATCCTTCAGAGTGCCACCTTACATCAGGGTGTCCATTAGATTGCCCCCTTACATCAGGATATCCATCAGAGTTCCCCCTTAAATCAGGTGTCCCGTTCAGAGTGCCCCCTTACATCAGGGTGTCCATCAGAGTATCCCCTTACATCAATTACCCCATCAGAGTGCCCCCTTACATCAGGTATACCCATCAGAGTGCCCCCTTACATCAGGATATTCATCAGAGGTCCTCCTTACATCAGGTGTCCCCATCAGAGTTCCCCCTTACATCAGAGTATCCCCTTACAGCAATTACCCCATCAGAGTTCCCCCTTACATAAGGTATCCACATCAGAGTGCCCACTTACATCAGGATCCCCATCAGAGTGCCCCCTTACATCAGGTATACCCTTCAGAGTGCCCCTTTACATCAGGGTGTCCATCAGATTGCCCCCTTACATAAGGTATCCACATCAGAGTTCCCCCTTACATAAGGTATCCACATCAGAGTGCCCACTTACATCAGGTATACCCATCAGAGTCCCCCCTTACATCAGGTGTCCCCATCAGAGTGCCCCCTTACATCAGTGTATCATTCAGAGTATCCCCTTACATCAATTACCCCACCAGAGTGTCCCCTTACATCAGGTGTCCCCATCAGCGTGTCCCCTTACATCAGGGTGTCCGTCAGAGTGCCCCCTTTACATTAGAGTGTCCATCAGAGTGCCCCTCTTACATCATGTGTCACCATCAGAGTGTCCCCTTACATCAGGGTGTCCATTAGAGTATCCCCTTACAACAACAGGTATACCCATCAGAGTGCCCCCTTACATCAGGGTGTCCATCAGAGTATCCCCTTACATCAATTACTCCATCAGAGTATCCCCATCAGAGTGCCCACTTACATGAGGGTGTCCATCAGAGTGCCCCCTTACATCAGGTATACCCTTCAGAGTGCCCCGTTATATCAGGGTGTACATCAGATTGCCCCCTTACATCAGGATATCCATCAGAGTTCCCCCTTACATAAGGTGTCCCCATCAGCGTGACCCCTTACATCAGGATATCCATCAGAGTTTCCCCTTACATCAGGTGCCACCATCAGAGTGCCCCTTTACATCAGGGTGTCCATCAGAGTGCCCCCTTACAACAGGTATACCCATCAGAGTGCCCCCTTACACCAGGAACCCCCATCAGAGTGCCCCCTTACACCAGGTATCCCCATCAGAGTGCCCCCTTACACCAGGTATCCCCCATCAGAGTGCCCCCTTACACCAGGTATCCCCCATCAGAGTGCCCCCTTACACTAGGTATCCCCATCAGAGTGCCCCCTTACACCAGGTATCCCCATCAGAGTGCCCCCTTACACCAGGTATCCCCCATCAGAGTGCCCCCTTACACCAGGTATCCCCATCAGAGTGCCCCCTTACACCAGGTATCCCCCATCAGAGTGCCCCCTTACACTAGGTATCCCCATCAGAGTGCCCCCTTACATCAACTGTCTGCATTAGACTGACTTATGGATAAGAGGATCTGAGGGGGGGATGGGGGACCAGCTAAAATCTGGGGGGGGGGCGCAGTCCCCCCCAGCACCCCCCTATATCCTGCCCTGATGTACATGTGGGAGAGAAGTGTCAGAATTGGGCAGCTAATGGGTAAAACTCTGTATTACATAACATCATTTCAAGGGTTCCTCCATGATAAAAGGCCAAGCTAGATGGACTTGTGTCTCTTTTCAGCCTTTGTAACGATGTAACTTTGTTTTGATCAGACAATGCTCCAGGGTCACTGTAGGCGTCCTAAACACACCGGCCCGGTTCTGCTCCTGCACACAGCACATGGGAAAATCTTTGAATTATGCAATCTCGTTAAAGTGAAATATGTGTGATATTCCTGACCTCTCATCAGAAATCACGATTGTCACCCAGCTGTACTTTGAAATCGAGCCCCGGAGAGCCCGGGGTGATAGAGGAGACCACCTGCAGCTGATTGTGTAGATACGGAGCCCTCGGCGTTGTCACAAGCGGTTCTTTCTATTCCCAGAGTTCTTAGTTGGAACTTGTCTGGTCACAGTCGTCAGCGACTGATCTCATAGCACATCAGCAAAACGAGCGAGGGTGTGCGCGTTCCCACCGAGAGCCTGCGTTCCTTCCATGTGACAATCCTCATTTTCTGATATAATCAGTAGAAAATCACGGGGGGGGGGGGGGGGGGGGGAGCACACTTCAACACGTATGCCGCCAACTGGCAATAGGACCAGGTGCAGAGTTCGTGCCGCTGCCCAAGGCGAACGCACTGACGCCGCGGCATAAATTGTTTTTTCGAAAGAGGCCCCTGCGGCGCCCGTTGATTAGGAATGCCAAAAACAGCGTTATCGTTTATTTTTAATAAATGTACGTGAATAAACAGGCCGCATGTCACCCCCACAATTCGCAGCCCAGGGCGGCCTGTATACTTTTACCCTGAAATCAAAATGCTGATGGTAAGAAGTCAACGTGAGTTCATGCTTTTGTGTCGCTTGTGTGTGGCGCGTTTCTGTCCTGTACTTGTACCCTCCCTGTTAGATTGTAAGCTCCCAGGATCAGGGCCCTCCTATCCCTCTTGTATTGAACTGTATTGTTGCTGTATTGTCTCCCGTTATATTGTAAAGCGCTGAGCAAACTGTTGGCACCATATATCCTGTATAATAATAATAATAATAATAATAAAATCCTGTATAATAATAATAATAATAATAATAATAATAAATCCTGTATAATAATAATAATAATACTTGTAGAGGCGTGTACCATGCTATTTATTGAGATACAAAGGCCAAGATTTCTTTGGTCAGGATGACCAATGGGTGGGGCGGCTCTGAGCGAAGTGTTTTAGCCAAATCACTGCATCACAAAATGATCGATTTTGCCTAAAATTTCACTCAGTGAGTTACGTAACTGAGGTATCCCCATAAGCTATCCCCACCAGTGTGCCCCCTTACATCAGGGTGTCCATCAGAGTATCCCCTTACATCAATTACCCCACCAGAGTGCCCCCCTTACATTAAGGTGTCCATCAGAGTGCCCCCTTACATCAGGTGTCACCATCAGAGTGTCCCCTTACATCAGGGTGTCCATCAAAGTGTCCCCTTACATCAGGGTGTCCATCAGAGTGCCCCCTTACATCAAGGTGTCCATCAGAGTATCCCCTTACATCAATTACCCCATCAAAGTGTCCCCTTACATCAGGGTGTCCATCAAAGTGTCCCCTTACATCAGGGTGTCCATCAGAGTACCCCCTTACATCAGGTGTCACCATCAGAATGTCCCCTTACATCAGGGTGTCCATTAGAGTACCCCCTTACAACAGGTATACCCATCATAGTGCCCCCTTACATCAGGGTGTCCATCAGAGTATTCCCTTACAACAATTACCCCATCAGAGTTCCCGTTTACATCAGGTGTCCCCATCAGAGTGCCCCCTTACATCAGGATGTCCATCAGAGTATCCCCTTACATCAATTACCCCATCAGATTGCCCCCTTACATCAGGTGCAGGGGCGGACTGACCATTTGCCTGAGGGTCCAGGGTCAGTAGGGGGCCCCATGAGATGCCCCTGGTACCTTTTTCATGGGCTTTTTTGAGTTTGGGCTATTTCCCGGGGGCCCCATGAGTTGTCAGTCCACCCCTGATTAGGTGTCACCATCAGATTGCCCCCTTATATCAGGATATCCATCAGATACTCTTAGATTGTAAGCTCCCAGGATCAGGGCCCTCCTACCCCTCTTGTATTGATCTGTATTGTTGCTGTATTGTCTCCCGTTATATTGTAAAGTGCTGAGCAAACTGTTGGCGCCATAAATCCTGTATAATAATAATACTTGTAGAGGCGTGTACCATGCTATTTATTGAGATACAAAGGCCGAGATTTCTTTGGTTAGGATGACCAATGAATGGGGCGGCTCTTAGCGAAGTGTTTTCGACAAATAACTGCGTCACAAAATTATTGATTTTGCCAGAAATTTTCTCTCAGTGAATTGCGTAACTGAAATTTGCTGGTAATCTACGTGGGTTTTTTTTTAAGAGGATGCATTTAGAGTAGAATAGTTTGTTTTGTTCTAATTATTTAATATTTTTTATTGTTAATATTATAGTTATTAATATTAATAATTTTTTTTTACAATCTTTTTTTCTTTTTGTTAAAAAAAAAAAATACTGAGGCAATAGTTTATTTCATTTTGTTTTTTTTTTAATTATATTTTTATTTTATTATTATGATTATTATCATTAATACCAACAATATTTTTTTCTGTCTGTCTCTCTTTCTGTAATAATAATAATTATATTGAGGCTAAAAGAGGACTTTTTTGGCAACAGGTCTAGGATCTAGGAAAGAGCTTCACTTTCATTTTCAGAAGCCCAGTGGCATCACTAGGGTTGGTGTCACCTGGTGCCATAAAAACATGGTGTCAGCTCCCCTTTGCCAGCAGGACAGGTAGTTGAGCACTGAGCAGGCTAGGGCATTGGTGTGGCTGTCCCCCTTGAATGCCCTCAGTAACCCAATTACTGTTCTAAGGCTCCCATTACTGTCCTCAGACTCCCATTATTGTTCTCAGGCACCCATTACTGTCCTCAGGCTCCCATTACTGTCCTCAGGCTCCCATTACTGTCCTCAGGCACCCATTACTGTCCTCAGGCTCCCATTACTGTCCTCAGGCTCCCATTACTGTCCTCAAGCTCCCAATTACTGTCCTCAGGCTCCCATTATTGTTCTCAGGCCCCCAATTACTGTCCTCAGTCCCCACCTTTGCTGTCCTCAGTCCCTTCAGTTACTGTCCTCAGGCCTCCATTACTGTCCTCAGTCCCCCCATTACTGTCCCTAGTCTCCCAATTAATGTCCTCAGTCACCCAATTACTGTCCTCAGCCCCTCATTACTGTCCTCAGATTCCCAATTACTGTTCTTAGTCCCCCCCAATTACTGTCCTCAGGCCCCCATTACTGTCCTCAGTCCCCCCATTACTAACCCCAGTCCCCCAATCACTGTCCCTAGTCTCTCAATTAATGTCCTCAGTCACCCCATTACTGTCCTCAGCCCCTCATTACTGTCCTCAGATTCCCAATTACTATTCTTAGTCCCCCTAATTACTATCCTCAGGCTCCCATTAGTGTTCTCAATCCCCCCAGTTACTGTCCTCAGTTCCCCCCCCCCCCATTAATGTCCTTAGCCTCCCCATTACTGTCTCCAGTACTGTCTTCCCTATTACTGTCCCCCCCTACAGCGCCCCATTACTATCCTCAGCTCCCCCACAGTGCCACATTACTGTCATTAGCTTCCCCTCCCCCATAGCACCCCATTACTGTCCCCAGGCCCCCCTCCCCCTGAGCCCCATTACAGTCCTCAGTTGCCCCCCACATTGCCCCTCATTGCCCCTCCTCCTATCTTACCTTACACAGACAGTGTGGGTCAGGACAGAGGGTGGGAGCTGCAAGCTGGTGATTGGTTGCTAGGCCCTCCCTGCATCCTAGCAACCAATCACCTGCTGTTAACTTGGGCAGCCAAGCCCTCTATCCAGAACTATCCTGCCTCCCACAGAGGACTTTCAGAGAGAATGACAGCGGCGGCTCGTAAATGGTGGGACCAGGGTTACCCTTCTGGCAGGAGTCACCTCCATAGTGATACCACAGCAGGAGCCACTTAAGGTCGGTTTGCACTTCAGTCCGCTGTCAGCTGAAAAAACGGGTCACAGGAGTATAGAATGTACTGCACTCCTCTGATCCACAGAAGTACAGCCAAAAAAAAAATATTTGGCTGTACTTCTCCTTTAAAAAACCCCAATATATAATATGTATTACATTGTATCTATAAAATGGAAGATAGGTCTGGAATGATATATATGTACCCCTGGCGTGGCACCATCCCAGCATACGTCTAGAAGAGAAAACAGAAAAATGGAGTGTACAGTGGCATCCGGTCAAACCAAGTGGTCCTCTTCTATCTCCAGTGAAAATGGGACTTTGTATGTGTCAGCCACCGAGAGGAGAAATCTGTAATATCACATCGAATGACAGTAATAAAAAATATATATACTTTTATTGGCTCGTCATTAAAAAACAAAGTCACACTTCACATTTTAAAACCAAAATGGTCTTTAACCGTTTCAATACCGGGCAATTTTCCCCCTTCCTGCCCAGGCCATTTTTCAGGTCTCAGCGCTCTCACACTTTGAATGACAATTGCGTGGTCATACAACATTGTACCCAAACTAAAATTTTATCATTTTCTTCACACAACTAGAGCTTTCTTTTGGTGGTATTTAATCACTGCTGGGGTTTTTATTTTTTTGCTAAATTAACAAAAAAAGACCAAAAATTAAAAAAAAAACCCCACATTTTTCTTTGTTTCTGTTATAAAAGTTTAAAAATAAATAATTGTTCTTCATAAATTTAGGCCGAGATGTATTCTGCTCCATGTCTTTGGTGAAAATAACCCAAATTAGGATGTATTTTTTAGTTTGTAGGAAAATTATAGAGTTTACAAACTATGGTATAGATCTGAATATTGATCAATCCTGAAGTACTGACAGCCAATCTAATTTCTTGAGGTCCAAGAATGTCAGAATAGTACAGATATCCCCCAAATGACCCCTTTTTTCAGAGTAGACAGTCCGACGTACTTCATAAGAGGAATGGCGAGTTTTTTGAAGTTGTATTTTTTTGTCATAATTTTTCGGAAAATGAAAAAATTAAAAAAATTATTTTCACTATTTTTCTTTTTACATACTGTCACCAGTGCAGTACAGCGTCATCATATAACTGGCATGGCGGTGGTGAACAGGGACACTGACTGGTTGGGACAGTATGAAAAAAAATATATATATATATATATTTTTTTTTTTTTTTATTTTTTTATTATATTTAATTTTTTATTACATTTTTTTTTATTTTTTTAAGATTTTTTTTTTCATATTTTACTATGACCAAAGTAGTACAATGTTATCATAGTAACATTGTACTACTTTGGGGAAGTGATCAGTATTTTTTTTTTTTTTTTTTTTTACACAATTTGCTTATAGCAAAGAATTACTTTGCTATAAGCAAGCATTTACCTGAATGAAATCGATTCATTCAGCTTTTTTTAAATTTTTTTTTTTTTTGTGCTTAGCTGTGATTTGGTCACAGCTAATCACATGACGTGTGCATGTGATTAGCTGTGACCATTCACAGCTAGACACTAGTATACAATGGATGGCATCATGAATGAAGCCATCCATGTATACAACTGTCATGTGACCTGCTGTGATTGGTCACAGCAGGTCACATGGTACCAGCAACGGGAGCCGGTACTCGGATCTGTCATCGGCCGTGTCCGAGGTGCACGGCCGGTGACAGATCGCACTGCTGCGCCGCTCTGCATTAGCGCAAACGGCGCATGTGCGGGAGCACGCCAAATGGCGTGCACCCGGAATGGAGAGACACATCTGAAGCCGCCAAACGGCCATTGGCCGGGCGGCTAATGGTTAAAGAATACATCAGCATGTGGTTACATTCATACAGCAATAAGATGCACAATAAGTGTATTTGGATCAACGCGTTTCGCTGCATTTGCTTCCTCAGGATCCACAATTGTTTTCCCCCCTAACTGTTGGCTACTTGTTACGATAATTAATGATAAATAATAAAATTATGTATAAAATTGGTGATAGTTTGTGGTAAGGTGCTTGATACAGGAGTTGATGGTGACTTCACATTCCAGAGGTGTCTCGGTAATAGTAAAAATACGCACTCACCAGATGCGTATTTTTAAGTACGCATGTAATCATTATGATCAGAGGTCCCCCTCTCGGGAAGGGATGGATGAGCTGGGCCGTCTTAACGGACTCTCCTCCCTCTGGATGGTAGGCAGCTACAGAGATGTCTCCCTAGGTCTGTGTGGATGGGAATACAGGTAGAGGCCTTCTTAACGGATGGGCGGACGCTAGTCAGCTAACAGCTCCCTTCTCTGGGTTGGTGCCACAAGAGAATTCAGCTCCTGTATCATCAAACGCTGGGCTCTGGAAGTGAAACGTTAGCACACCGGGGAGCCAACCAAAAAATGGCCCATAGTATAGTATTTTTAAAAAATTCAATTTATTAATCCACGTGGTAAAGGTTAAAACAATAAACAGTAAAAGTGTGCAGAAAAAGATATACTGACCATTTAAGTTAAAAAAGACGGCCGCCGGACCTATGATAGGTACCAGCGGCAAGACGTCACGGCGTAATGTCCCCTTTGACGTGTTTCGTGCTAAAGAACTTCCTCAGAAAAATCACTGTATTTCTATTGTTATATGTTAAAATTCTGTGCGTAGCAGCCCCAGACCCCCCTAGCACTTACCTGAGCCCCATCCCAATCCACTGAT